CATAAAGTTGTTGTTTTTGCTTTTCTACTTCCTCTGGTGTGGGATTGTTTGGTTCTTCACCTCCAAGTTTTTTCCTCTTTCACCTTTACTTCTCCTTTTCTTATGTAATCCGGGGCATCTTTGAAACATCATCAATTCGACTTTACTGCAGTTGTATAGCCATCTTCAAATTGTTGGTGGCAGACCTCACAGGTCATTTTGTCGTTTTCTCCAACCTCTTCCTCTCATTCTTTTTTGCCGCCAGCAGTGCCAGCAAGAACAACAAACTTTCTAATCTTTTTGCCTTGGTTTGGATTTCTCCCACCAGGATTATTTTGTATTTTTTCTAACTTTCCTAAATATTCTTGGCGGAGATTTTTGGTTTGGTCAACCGCCTCTTGATAATTCGGATTCTTGCCATAAGCCATTTGTAATTTTTCCCAAAAATCTTGGTTTTCTCCCTGTTTTTCCCGAATACCTAATTCGGTAATTAAACTTAAAAGTTGTTCGGAAGTAATTTCTGAGTTAATAGGTGGGTCGCGGTTTCTTTCGGGCTTTTCAGGCTTTTTCTCGGGAATTGGTTCTTTTCCGCAAACATGAACTTTTTCTTTAATGGCTCCATTTAATATCTCATTTAAGGCTATTTCTATTTCTTTGACAGAACTAACAAAATGAACTTGTTTGACCTTGCTTTCAATACTAGGATAAATATCGTCGAAACTATTCTCTTGGTTTTTATGTTTCTTGTTTTTTTCTGCTAGTATAAAAGTATCTATCCCATTGTCAACCGAAGCTTCTAACTTATATCGTAGACCTCCTATACTCCCCACCCTTTCTCCCTCCACTGTTCCAGTTGAACCTAAATTTCGTGGTAAAGGAATTTTATGTAAAGCACTGTAAAGAGCTAGATAGTGTGCTATTCCGGAGGAAGGCCCGCCAGTTTTTCCTTCTCTTTCCTTGCTACCCGTTCGCAAAATGTAAATATCATTTTGTTGGGCTCCTTTTCCTAATTTTTGGGACTTGTCTAGTAAATCCTTAATTAGTTGCCGAACTGAAATTTGTTGTTCTTGTTCTATCGTTTCTGGAAAATAAACTTCGTAATTTTCTCGTTTGTGAGGTTTCAAAATTAGTACCAATCCTCGCGTTTTACCCTTTTTAGCTTCCTTGATTTTTCCATTTCCCCTTCACGTTTCCGTTGTCGAAACTGAAAGAGTATTA